GAGTGAGGGGGGATGTGTGTGTATGGGGTGAGGAGCAGGGGGGCATGGAGGGTGGAGTACAGTGGAAGGGATATAAGAAGAGTGATGGGGCAATAGAGACGGGCTTATGGTGGGGCACTATAGGGCATGGGGTATTGAATGGTAGCTAAAGAAGGGAAGCACTTTTTGTGGAAAAGCGTCCGTGCCAATCTAGACGCGCTTTTCCGCCAAAAAGCCCCGATCGCCATTTTCGCGATCGGGGCTTTTTTACGGAAAACAAATCTCAGCTGTCTACACTGGCCCAAAAGACTTTTGCCTGAACGGGAGCAGCATAGTATTTCCACAAGAAGCACTGATTTCTTACAGTAGGAAGTCAGTGCTTTTGCGGAAATTCAAGCAGCCAGTGTAGACAGCTGGCAAGTTTTTCTGGAAAAGCGGCTGATTTTCCGGAAAAACTGGCCAGTCTAGACACAGCCAAGGTGTCTGGGGGGGATGAGGGATACAGATGGGGGAAGGCATCTGGAGGGATGAGGGGTATAGATGTGAGGAAGGAGTATAGTTTGAGGCATATAAAGAGGATGGTGTATAGGTATTGATGGGGAAGGAGGGTGAGGATAGTATGGAAGGCTGGGCTATAAGGAAAAGGCATAATAGGATAGTGTGGAGGGTTTTACAGTGCAGGACTGAATGTGTCATTGCTCTCTCCCTTTAACGCCTCTCCTTGCTGCTTTGCTCCATTTTATATCCTCCACTTAATTGTCTTGTTTTGTCTCTTGGGCTCAGCTGGGCATTACTTTCCCCAGATTGCTGGTCTGCCTGGAAGCACTGATTGTGTTGGGAGGCTGATACATGCTGTGATGAGTGTGGTCACAGAAGCTAGTCACACAAATCACTGTATTGTGGGGCATTTTCTAGGCTAGTCACAGAGGGATGATGAAGCTCTTATTAAAGGATAAGGGGGGTATACTATAGGATGCAGTTAGTGTTACATCCTTAACCTCCTCTATTGAGATTTTTTGATGCTATCTGCCCCAAAACACTCAAAATTAAACAATAATTATACATTAATAATTTTCTGTCCAGAAGGGATCTCCTAATTAAAGATCCCCATGTGTACCCAGGGATCTGCAACAGTGGGATCTTCTGGATCACTGACACTAGAGGAGTTATGGAACTGAATTGTTCTTTGTCCTGCTTAAATGGTGAGCCCCTGGTCTAGTGGCAGGGATGGTATCTTCGTCAGAACACGCTGTCTTAGTGCAGGTGATCATGTCTCCCTCTAGAGGCTGGTTCTAGAAAGTATAAGAGCCTGCTACTGACTAAACAGGGTAGGCCTGAGCTTATACCCACTTGAATGAGCACTGGAAAAAAGTGGCAGCAGCTTGTGTGTTCAGATCCTTATGCTACACCCACTGAAGTCAGCTGAAACCTGACAACAACCTCAACAGGCACAAGAGTCAGGAAAGCATCTCTTCAGGGCACTGAACCTTCCCCCTGACAAGTTTGATGTCTGTATGCATCAGGCCACATTCCATTACGGTAACAATGTTCCATAAATATGATACTAATAACAATAGTTAATACTTAAAGTGAAACAAAACAAAAAGCTAGTGAATCGAAACACAGGATCTACAAGCATTACAACACTGTCAATAAGCCGCTACAAAACTTAATTATAGAAATTAATCACACCACTCAAAGTAATCATTTCGGCAAGGTTTGGATTTGAATATTCCTCTGCCATGTCTGCAACCCAAATATAATGGCATCGGACTAATACATGAGAACCAGAAAGTGAAACTAAGTAATTTATTTTCCAAGCACAAGCTGAATAGAGTGAAAAAAAAGCATTTGTAAACTATTTTAAATATTGATTGGGACAGATTCTGGCACTCAGGGCTTGTCTTCACATATGGTGCTACAGCAGCATGACGGCACCAGTGAGGCATGCAGAGCCCGTGCTGTCCATTGGATGGTTTGGGAAGTTTGTCCCAGGTCTCATGCTTTGGGGGCCTCCGGTTTAGGAGGACTCAGGCCCAGCAGCAGACAAATTTAGCACTTCTATCATTCAGGCCTTGTAGAGATGCTTTCCTGAATCAGGGTCTGTGGGCTGAATCTTGCACCTATTGAAATTGTTGAAAGGTTTCAATTGACTTCAGTGGAATGTAGTGTAAGGGTCTGAGCACACAAGCTGCGGAGCAGAAGCAGGGGCAGGAAGAGCTGGAATCGGGGCAAGCCTGGGGTGGGGGTTGCCCTAGGCTCTGCGCTCCCTTGGGATGGCCCTACTGCCATGCCACTGTAGCACTTGAATGAAGATGGCCCTAAGCCAACAGGAATGTTTCTCCTGTCAGCTCCTGTGGCTTTTTCCACATTCTTGACAGACTTAGTTATAGTGATAATAGGGCTATATAGTGTAGATGTGGCCTTAGAGACAACACAACTTTCAAAGGGAAGTTACAATAATGTAACCAAGACTGAATTTGTCCTTTCCAGTTTTAATATACCCAGGTAATGACATTAAAATGCCTCTAAGGGAATTTCCTTCTTTTACAGGTTCTGCACAGTTATACTGATATAAACTCAGAGTTACTCCACTGAAGCCAGTTAAGTTTATATTAATGGAACCAAGAGTAGAATCTAGTCCCATCTGTTTTATACTTAACAGTTTCCTTTTAATTACGAAGTACAGTAATAGAACATGTCTTTGTAAATCTGTCTTTCATTGTGTAATGCTGCAAAAGGAATAGAAAGCACTGACAGAAATTGGGCCTTGTCTACACACAAAGTTGCACTGGTTTATTTAAAGGTATATTTTTAAATCTATTTAGTTTAAACCAGTGTGAAATTTTTAAAACTAGTTTGTTCTGCTTTAGCTAAGGTTGATGCCAAGTTGATTTAAGATAAATTGATGCAGGTCAGGATTAAGCAGCTTCAAGAAGATCCACGCAGAAGTTTGCACTAATTTAACTAAATTTATTTTAAAACTAATTTTAGTTAAACTGGTGTGATTTTTACATGAAGCTCTTAGAAACAGCAAGCCAAAT